GAAAGGTTTAACTCATTTAACACCCTGCGATACATCTACCGTAGTCACTCTCTCCATCTGTACTCACAGAGCTTCCTACGATAGTTAAGACGACCGGAGGTGGACGCAACCACAGTGACTAACAGAGCCTTCTGCCCGTGGCACACACACGGTTCGCTCACACAACGCGTGCCAGTCTACGATCAGGTGACTCAGATCTCACCTGGGTGAGCAGGTCATGAAGGCCATATTAGGAAGGATCACTTAGAGCTTGTCGTCACAAATGACTGTTCCAAGGCTTTCTTTCACTGGCGCCCCCGCCACCAGAGGCTTGACCTCGCAGCTGCTTCTGGCTAACTGATAACAGCTGCGTCAGCGTCCCCGTGTCCTTCGGCTTTCCGGCGGTCCCCACAGTTGACCTCAGCTTATTCAGTCACACACACACACGTGCGCACACACCCACGCATAAATGTGCGTCCAAACAAGCACGCCTGGGTAAGTGCCAATTGAATGCACTACCCCCTCGATCGATGCAGCAACGACCTCTACAGGCGACATCCGCTCGGGCAATTGCAACACACCAGTGATAGAACACTTGAACTCGCTTCACAGTCATGTAAAAGCAACTGTTATCACCCCCACACAAGACACAGTCGACTCTCTCAGGTCTGGCTGGACACAATCAGCACTAGCCCTGGCATCGCCAGTGGCCGCTGCCACCTGAGAAAGCAATATAAAGTTCTGTACACAATAAACCCTTCCTTCTGGTGACTCCTGCCTTTTACTTCCAACCTTGGATTTCGACCTGATGATTGTAGTGATCTGAGTTCAACCACTACTAAGGCCGCTACAGATCCCCGGTGTCGTTCACTCTCTCTGCCCTCTGCCATGCGCTTGACCCTCAAGCATGCATGGACAGGTCTCTTCACAGCAGGCTGATCGGTCTCAATACAACTTTCGGGAAACTGTTTGCAGAAGTCTGATATCTAGTTTAAAATCGGGGAATGTCACGGTTTGTCAGCCGCATGACAGTCACTTTTCAGGCGCAAGTGAATGATGACCGTAAACGCAATGATGATGTGATCGCAGCGCTTTGCAGGACCTTATATAATCTCAACATGTGAGGCTTTCAGGCCTTCCATTGGTCCGCGTTCCCTAACAGGATCCTCTCTTTCATTTGCATGTACAACATTTTCGAACAAAGGTATCCAAAGGAAAAAAAGATTTAGCAACGTCTTCCCTCTGTTTAGGCTCGTTCCTTCAATTTGGCAAATTCAACAAGTGCACTTCCACTTCTTGCAAAAGGATAAACAAAATGAAAATAAGAACAGTTACATGTTAGGTTAATGTACCTCTTGATGATGACTGGGTCTCCGATGCATAACGACAACATGTGAGTTGTGGTTGTCATGTACTTTCGAGTCCTCATCTTCGTCCTCGTGCGCATTGTGTTCCTCGTCTTGCTCCTGGTCCTCCTCCTTCTCTACCTCCTCGCGATGTTTAAGACTGGCTTGCGAGAGATCGTCCTCATCAGCTTCCAGTTCATCATCATTATCGTGGTGGGGATAATGGTGTTCAGTGTTGTCTACTTCCTGAAAACCGGGCGTCAATATTCCCTGAAGTTTTCGCTTCCCCATCTGGGCTTGTGGGACTTTCGGTGCCTTAACAAACTTTGCAGGAGCCTTAATGACTGGCGCTGCCGGAGGTACCGGTTTTCCCTTTCCTTTTCCCTCTGCAGCCGCCTTTAAGCCGGTCGTGACCTTCGGTGATTTTGGAATAGCCACATTTGAAGAAGTTCGGGGTTTAGACGGCACTGGAGCGGCTTCGCTGGGCACTATACTGAGG